GGAGGAGGAGGAGCAGGAGGAGGAGGAGGGAGGAGGGAGGAAGGAGGAGTGTGGAGGACCGGCCACGAGCAACGGGTGGTAGGGGGAGGGGGAAAGCTTCTGAGAAGGAGGCTCCTTCTTCGAAGGCGCGGGCCTGAGGCCAAGGGGTCGGGCCCATCTGGCGCTGCGCGATGGGGGGCGATAGTAACAGGTGGGGGCGAGGGAATGTGGACCTCTCGTCGAGGAAGAAGACGAATAATAACAAGATGATAGCAATAGTAAACAAGAAGGCGAAGAAGAAGAAAACGCAAACACGCCATAAACACAAACCTTTGGCGCTCCGCGCGGGTTTCTTGGATCCGCACTGGGGCCCCCTGGCGGCGCCTCTGGCGCCGCCCCTGGCGCGCTCCGGGTCCGTCGCAGATCCAAGGCGCTGATCCAAGACACCAGCGCGGACCGTCGGAAGTTTGTGCTTATGCCGTTGTTTTGTTTCTCTATTTTTCTCCGAGCGCGTTCCACTACTCGCCAAGTGCCTACTCGCAATCGTCCGGAGAAAAACGCACGTCTTTTTTGATGCCATTTCATTTATCGTGGATCCCCCGCTGTGGATCCAGGCCACGTGCAAGTAGCTACTCTGCGAGTGCTGGAACGCGCTCGTCTAGATTTGTGCCCTCACGGGGCCCTGAACGGTCCCAAAGGGTCAAGCAGTGGCGAAGCGTCCTGGCTTGCCTATAGTCCCACCGAACAATGTTCTAAGAACCTTATGTGGTCTGCACGAACTGTTCTTAGAACATTCCTGGCTGGGACTGTCTTGTTTTGACACATCGGGAATATGTTCTAAGAACATGGTTTTTGTTCTTAGGACATTTTGGGGTTTTAAGAACATTTCGTGGTAGGGCTATAGGAATGCCGGGACGGTCGGTCCCTGCTCAAAAGGGGGCATGGCCGGTCTGCTTAAGAGGTAGGTCCCCAGAGGGGGCCCCTCCTCAAGCAGCGCCCCGGCCCCAGGCACGTAGGCCGCCACCCCAGGCCTCCCCACGTCACTCAGGAGGGAGAATTAGCCTGGCGAAGGACCCAACCATATGCAGTTGTGAATGCCGCAATTGTGCTGGGTGGTGGCGGACGCATGCGGGCGGTGCCACTGGGACCTTCGGTGGAGCTCCCTATGGGGCCACGAAACGCTGTACTGGGTGGGTGAGACGCGGTCAGCAAGGGCTGTGCTGCGTGGTGGCGGACGCATGCGAGCGGTGCCACTGGGACCTTCGGTGGAGCTCCCTATGGGGCCACGAAACGCTGTACTGGGTGGGTGAAACGCAGGCAGGGAGCAAGGGCTGTGCAGGGTGGTGGCGGACGCATGCGGGCGGTGCCGCTGGGACCTTTGGTGGAGCTCCCTATAGGGCTACGAAGCGCTGTTCTGGGTGGGTGAAGCGCAGGGAACAAGGGCTGTGCTGGGTGGTGGCGGACGCAAGCGGGCAGTGCCACTGGGACCTTTGGTGGAGCCCCCTTATGGGGCCACGAAGCGTGCGAGGGGTGTGCCAGAATGGGGTGTGGAACCGCATGCCAGCGCAGCCACTGGGGCCTTCGGTGGAGCTCCCTATGGAGCCACGAAACGTGTGAGGGGTGTGCCGACATGGGGGGTGGAACCGCATGCGAGCGCAGCCACTGCGGCGTTCGGTGGAGCTCCCTATGGGGCCACGAGACGTGTGAAGGGCGTGCCGAAAAGGGGGGTGGAACCGCATGCGAGCGCAGCCACTGGGGCCTTCGGTGGAGCTCTCTATGGGGCCACGAACCGTGTGAGGGGTGTGCCGAAATGGGGGGGGAACCACATGCGAGCGCAGCCACTGGGGCGTTCGGTGGAGCTCCCCATGGAGCCACCCACGAAGCGTGTGAGGGGTGTGCCGAAATGGGGGGTGGAACCGCATGCGGGCGCAGCCAATGGAGCCTTCGGTGGAGCTCCCTATGGGGCCACGAAACGTGTGAGGGGTGTGCCAGAATGGGGGGTGGAACCGCATGCGGGCGCAGCCACTGGGGCCTTCGGTGGAGCTCCCTATGGGGCCACGAAACGTGTGAGGCGTGTGCCAGAATGGGGGGGTGGAACCGCATGCGGGCGCAGCCACTGGGGCCTTCGGTGGAGCTCCCTATGGGGCCACGAAACGTGTGAGGGGTGTGCCAGACTGGGGGGGTGGAACCGCATGCGGGCGCAGCCACTGGGGCCTTCGGTGGAGCTCCCTATGGGGCCACGAAACGTGTGAGGGTTGTGCCAGAATGGGGGGTGGAACCGCATGCGGGCGCAGCCACTGGGGCCTTCGGTGGAGCTCCCTATGGGGCCACGAAACGTGTGAGGGGTGTGCCAGAATGGGGGGTGGAACCGCATGCGGGCGTAGCCACTGGGGCCTTCGGTGGAGCTCCCTATGGGGCCACGAAACGTGTGAGGGGTGTGCCAGAATGGGGGTGGAACCGCATGCGGGCGCAGCCACTGGGGCCTTCGGTGGAGCTCCCTATGGGGCCACGAAACGTGTGAGGGGTGTGCCAGAATGGGGGGTGGAACCGCATGCGGGCGCAGCCGCTGGGGCCTTCGGTGGAGCTCCCTATGGGGCCACGAAACGTTTGAGAGGTGTGCCAAAATGGGCGGTGGAACTTCATGCGGGCGCAGCCACTGGGGCCTTCGGTGGAGCTCCCTATGGGGCCACGAACCGTTTGAGGGGTGTGCCAGAATGGGGGGGTGGAACCGCATGCGGGCGCAGCCACTGGGGCCTTCGGTGGAGCTCCCTATGGGGCCACGAAGCGTGTGAGGGGTGTGCCAGAATGGGTGTGGGAGGGGGAGGAGGGGGGAGGAAGGGGAGGAGGAGGAAGGATGAGGAGGAAGGAACGCGGGGCGACGTCTCTTCAAAACGAGGACCCAACACCACAGGATGGTTGGG